AGCGGTACTTTATGAGTCATTTAGACTTATTACAAATAAGGTGTTATTAGATTCTAACATGTTTATAGGAGCCTAATATTTGAAATGACGGTAATTATAATCATTACCAATGATAGAATGCTACTGAGGTGAATTTTATTGGGTTTTAAATGGATTTTAAAATTGATGGTTATTTCAGTTATAGTACCTAAGTTAATAATGATGTGATGTGATGAAGTTAATAATAACATAGAGTTTTTATTTGTTTAGTAATTAGCTATATGCGACCTTTTAATTGTATGATTTAATTAAAAATCATAAAGTACGATAGTGATGTGATACTGATACGATACCGATAATTCTAATTACGTGTTTATTTAAAAAAAGAAATTGTTGTGTTTTATTTCTTAGATATTTTCACTGTATAAGATAAATTTATATACATTAACAATGATACACGCCGTGAGAACTAAAAACATATTAAAAAATATATACTAAAGTGGTACTAGTATACTTTTCTCTTCAGTGCAACTATTGTACTACACTAAGGTTTTATTTAAAATTTACCGAAACAAATAACTATTATTTGTTGAAGTATTTCACAAAAATCTTTTTAGTATTGACGCGTAATACCTCGTAAAGGGTTATAAATATCTATCTAAATGTTTATTCATTAAATACTATCATTAAAAATAAAGTATCTCTTATATTGGACGTCACACAGCGTGGCTTGTGTTTTTTATGAGAATGGGATAAATGGGCCGTTATCTAGGTTAATAAACTTAAGAAGTAAAGTATTATGCAAATACAAAAATTGATTTAAATCGTAACAGCGGTTTTAGGGGCACCTGTTACAATAATCTGAATTGAGGAATTCGTGTATACATATACATGTGTGTGTACGAGGCATGCCTTTTAAGTTTTGTCGTATGAAGAAATTAACACAACTAGAACCTTATAGTACTTTTTATTGTTTTTCAAAGTATTCACCACATAGCTTAATACACTTTTCCATTCGCTCAAACAGTTATTATAACATTTATTTCACTCTAAAGTGGGGGTGTTGAAAATGGCTGACTTGAAAGCGTCGACTGCTTCTTCACCGGAACCTTTGACCACGAAGACTTTTCTTAATTTTAGGAAATGTAAAGAAATCGTTAGGGCTTAGGTCAGGACTGTATGGAGGACGGTCAAGAATTTCTACTTTTTCCTGCTTCAAATACTCAATCGTTTGACGAGCGCTGTGTGAGCTTGCGTTGTCGTGGTGCAGGATGATGCGTCGCTTTGAGTTAGATTTTCGAAGTTCGGCGATGACTTGTGGTAAACAAACTGTGGTATACCACTCTGCGTTAACCGTTCTACGATCTTTAAGTGCAATAGTCGCAACATGGCCGGTTTTTCCAACGAACGTGGCCACCATCTTCTTTGAAGTGCTTCGAGAACAAACAACTTTAGTCGGCATGCCTAATATAAACACACAAGTTACTCGTTCATAATGTTGGATAAAAAATCGACTAACAGTACCTTATAAAGCTGTAATTATTACTCTACTATATTACTAAAAGGATTGTCTATGGGATTAACACAGGTGCATAACAATGTAATCGAAAGCATTTTATCGTAATTTATAAAATCCTTTGGAATTTTCCATTCTATTAAAAACCGGCAGCCATTATTTTTTATTGCGGAAGATAAGTAAATGTTACTGCCGCTCACATTTTAGCAATGGGATGAAAAGAAGTGACATTAGAAGAGTACTAGAAATTTTATCTTGCTTTATCTGAGTCTTGCTTTATGGGCTCGATGATATCTATTTACGGTAACGGCTCTAAAGGCTTATTTGGTCCCATATGCTTTTAGTATCATGAAAAAGACGTTATAAAACGATATTTGTATGACCGATGTAAGTTAAAATTATTACACGCCAATTCATCATCAACAGCCTTTAGTAATCCTCAGCTGGACATAGCCCTCTCCTTAGAAAGGAGGTTTCGGCCTACTATACCACGCTGGCTAGACGGGTTGGTATAAGGTTTCAAGTTTTCCTTCTCTCTGCAGTGCTTTTGTCCTGCGTAGTTTGCTCTTTTAGTCGGCTCTTAAGACACCCACGGGATGAATAGAGGTGGTTGACTCTGAATTTTTAATCCGTCGCCGCACGGACAATTATTAATTAACATCTATCTTTAAACGTCGTTAAACAACCACTCGCCAACGCTTTGTCTTTAGTGTTTCACGAAAAATAATCTTAATACAAAATTTAAATTTTTGGTTTAAAAGTTAAAAAAAGACTACAAACTGACTAAACTGATATTTAAAGTTTTTGTTTTACAAACAAATTGTATAGAGAAAGCCTAAGTTCACAAAGTAACAAAAAGAAGCTTTAATTCAGGTTTCTTAGACTCTGGAGATTTTTTGTCTAATTCATAAAAAGTAGTTTTTATGTGCAAAACAGTTGAAGATCTCAGTCACCGCATTTCTTTGAAAGCGGCGCTTTCTATCATTGCTTTATATTATTTAGTTGTAATAACTACGTCAGTTATGATCTGTATCTAATAGATAATTAAACTAAATACATTTTAACTAAGTTGATAATTAATAAGAATAATAATAATTTCACAGATCTCATACACGGCCGTCTGATCCCAAATTAGGCAGAACCTGTACTGAGTAACCAAACTATTGATAAAAGTATTTTTATATCTACATACATACATATTATAGATAATTTCGCCTAGATACAGTACAAATGATCGTACTCATCACACAATTATTTGTCTTGGGTAGGAATCGAATCCACGACCTCTGGCTCAGTAATCGGGTTTGCTTACCACTAGAACAACAGCCCAGTCAAATAAAAGACACGATTTAATAGAACTAATCCGCCTCATCATATCGTCTCACAGTCAACATTGTTGAACATTGACATCAATCATTATTTACTTAAGAGTTGCCAAAATGGAGATTTTTTTTCTAGTAACTACAGTAAATTGTACTGCCTAAAAAGAGCTATTTTATTACACACGTAGACATGGTGAGCATACATATATCCACTATTGCGTTTTCTCATGATTTCGATGGATAGGTCGTCATAAATTATGACGACCATTATGACTCATAATGGTCTATATTGTTGCTGATAGCGTTCAAATTTACAAAAAACATTGGTTTTAGAAAGATAAAGATGATTAGAAGATTTAGTCTTGATTATGCACGGCGCTTTTAAGAAGGTATCTTCTTTTCGACTACTATAACTTATAGCCACCATGTCAGTGTATACATTCTTAAATAAATAACGGTAGTAGTACCATGATGTTAATGTGTTTAGTTTAGATATGCCACTAGAATTCTCAGCAGTGTTTACTCAACTAGCAGTTAACACATTTCCGCTAAGATAGCAACTTTGTGTATGTCGTTCGTGAGGAATATAATATTTAAAGTTTTTCATATTCCCACGTCGCATTGAATCAAAACGATTGAATGAATTACAATGAATGAAATATCAAACAATTCGGCACTAGGTAAAGGTGGCCTTACAAAAATTTAAATTAATTTAAATTTTTTATATTAATTTAAATTACAAATTTTTTTTAGAAACGCTTTATAATTGATTAATTTTGATCTCAGGATGCCGATGAAGAAAGAAGAATATTTTATTTTATTGCAGGTTTTAAATTTATTATTTACTTATCAAGATTAGTAGACTATGCATAGTGTGTACGTCAATTTAATTTAGTAAGTTATTTTTTTTATTGCATTAAAAATATTGTTAAGATCAGTGTTCTTTAACTGCTGTAATTTTTTTATTTATCATTTTCTGTCAAATTAACTGTTGGCTTTAGAAGATACGCAGTGAAACTTGTCTTTTAATAACAAAGAAACATACTATTACGATTTGATTTATGAATATCTTGTGACCCTTGTGTGTGTTTGAGAATAGATAAACGATAAATTTTGTAAATATTCGTCACCCAGCGCATTTTATTTCTATGAGTACCGGCACTTATTTAGTTCCAGTTGCCGAACAACGGTTTCTTTATGCGGATCGTATCCTGCAGTAGTAGGCGAAGAGACGTATCTAATGTAATAATTTGGACCGTTTTACAGGTGTACCATCATGGATATAAATTACTCTTTCGCGTTGAAAAACGACCGTAGCGTTGGAAAGATTAACAACAAACAGTAGGAATGAAACAACAGTTATCGGTGCTTACAATAGGAATGTACCAAGTGTAAAAAGAACACGGTTTAGCCTAAATTATAATTAAACGCTCTTATAAGGTTTTTGCAAAAACGTTACGACTTAACTACTTAAATGAATTCCGATAATATGTTTTATCTGTCTAAATGTACAGTTACTTTATTGTTTCCTTTACTGACAATTACGAGTTGTTTATTTGTCTTTCTGATAAAGTAGTCTCAAATAGTAGCTAGGTGTATATTGGATCGATTTTGGAGAAAAAGTGGGTACCAAATTTCTTAAACAACATTTGAACATATTGGTTGTGAAGCCATCTTTAAACAGACTGAAAAAAAAATAGCATACAAATATTAACCTTTACCTAATACTTACTTAAACCATTTTGCCTATTTTTTTGTAAATAGTATAATATATAGTACATAAATATAATATAAATATACTGTTACATTTTTATTGACTGTGTACGTCATGTACACAGTCAATAAAAATGTAATAATAAATATCTTCTTAAAGACTATACAATACATTTTTTTAGTAAATATGCAAATATGTGAATATTTAGGTAAGCATAAGTAAACAGATAGGTATTTGTATAAGTTTTTTATGGAATTAAACTTACTTAAATATTGCAGTGCAATGCAAAGCAGTCATCTGTACCTATTAAAATTAATTGTTTTGCTAACATTTTTAACAATTTACATTGTTAACCTGCAAGAAATGTACATTAGATCATACCTATTGCAAAATTATTCAAATAATATTAAAATATATTTATGGTTTCAGTAATCGTTAACATATTTTGACTTAAGGATCTTTGTTGCAGCTTCGTCCTAAACCCGTTAACACCAGTGCAAGAAACACGTTGCCTATTGCAGAATGACACGCAAGCCAACAATCCTATGGCAACGCCTCAGGTATGTCAAAACTATTATACTATATGACTGCAATAGATATTATGTAGTTAGAGTCCATAAAGCCGACAATTAATTATGTATTATCTATGTTCAGTAGTAAGTAAAGGAAAAATCAAAATAGAAAGAGAACGGTTTGAATATAATTCAAAGCGTATGAAATCAAGAAAAAGCACAGTTAATTTTTGATATCCAGAGAATTTCGGGCACATTTGACGATTTAACGGAGAGTAAAGCGAATGGCTTTATCTTCTTTTAATACAGTATAGCTGAAAGGAATATATTACGCTGTAATTGAATTAAATCCAGCGGTTATCTGGCAGTCCAAATTTTCTTTTAAGGCAGACTTTATGTACTTACTTATGAGTCAAGGGCGGACGCTTTGTCTCCAAGCTATAAATGGTAGAAAACTGTTAAAGTGTTTTATAGCCAAATAAATTTCTCTCCTATATGTATTCACTGGCATTCCTCTACTGCCAATTAGCCGGTAGATCTAGAGATTGGATTGGATTATCAATTTAGATTAAATCGGTCAACCTTAACTCTTAGGGAAACCTAACTGGCTAGAATGTACTGGTACACTGTAACTGTTCAGGCTTAACGTTAGACAGTTTAATCGCTTTCAGGCCTAATGAACGATGCTGATAATAAAATATGCGATATTAAACGATACAGCTCGCCGCGTACCGCCTATTAGTTTATTTTACTTAAGAGAGACTAAAATCAAATTAGGGTTGTAAACAGCTGTTTGAATATGATATAGTAAGTATAGATTATGACTTCGTCATAATTTCTTAACTAATATTATTAGTGTAAAAGTGAAATTGTATGTTTATTTCTAAGTTACACTTACCCGCCTTATCTGCTGAACCTGTTCATGTTACAATTTTGCATACGCCAGGGGCACAGAAAAGTAAATAGTAAATATTAATAGTTCGCACCTAGATTAAAGTAAGTCAGTAATAACTTCTAGGCGAGTGGAGCCGCGGGTAAAAACTAGTTATTTAATAGCAAAATTTGCATATCTAAGAAAATGAAAAATTGGAAAAAGCTTGCTTGATAATATTATCATAGAAGGTATATAGATATGTGATGAACAGAGAGATATGTTAAAGGTATTGTTTCCACAATATGTCAATTATGATAAATAAAAGTAGGGATAATTGAAGGATGACAAATTGAAATTTTAAACTGTTTTCGCACTTAAAACAAACAGCCAATAAAATAAAATAAATGCAATGAAAAATATACAGTTTCAAGTACACATTAAGATGAATACTTGCATTCCTTATTAGAACGCGAGTCATTGCTGCGAGATGTCTGTATTTTATATTATGATAGGCTCATTTTATCTGAATGCATTATCGATAATGATACGTTCGGTGAAGTAAGGTGAGATTAATGTGCGTTGTTTTGCATCAGCGGTCGGTGAACACGTACTACATGGTGAAGCTGCAAGTGCGGACAGATAACGTGTGCTTACGTCCCTGGGCGTTCGAGCGGGTCCCAGGCAAAACACTTCGGGGGCTCGACAACTCGATCATCTACACGTCCACTAAAGAAGGCTGTCTAGCAGCCTGCCTTAATGAGGTAACGTATATCATATCTAATGTTTAGGTTTAAAAGCTACCTGCTGTTTTAAAGCCAACAGAGTATTATGTGGTGTTCAATAAATACACGCGTTTAAATCGACACATTTAACTTCTGTCAATATTTTTATACCACTAAACTGGTTATGGCAACAGAATTAAATTTATTGTCATTTCTTTGCCGAAGCTTTAGACCCCATAGGCTTATTCCTTTAATTTTAATCATTTTGTTTGAAATTGAACACAAAAAGCTAAAGATGCCTGTAAACATATATCTGTTTCAGAAATGTTAGTAATATGTTTTATATTTCTGCATTTCAACAACAGCATTTATGTGTTTTATGTCACTCCTGGGGTTGCTAAACTTAGACTTTAAAATAGAGTCTAACTTCAATATACTCCCATCGGGAGGGGAATGTGTCATTACTTTTAACACGCCATTATGCTACCTTTTATGTAGATATATAGATCTTAAGAATAAATTATGTACGGTTATTTTTAGTGACGAGGCGCACTTAGGACCTATTTAAAACTAGTATAAATGACCCTTTCTATATAACAACTAAAGCTAATGCTGGTTGCATTAGCTTTACGTTGGAGATATCTATCACTAAAATCAATTTGTATTTTATCTAGGTTAGTAATAAAACAGTGAAGTAGTAAGTAAGTACTTATGTTCTGGGCATGTAGAATTCAAATGTGAGAGTTTCTAAGAGAGTGAAAGAGAGAGAGGCTTTACCTGTTTTATGACATTACACAGACTCTAAAATTATAGCTTAATGCGGAGACAGAAATAACACTCGTGCTTAATTTTTATTTTTTCATATGTATAATATTAAGCTTATGGTCTTACGGGCTAACGGGCTTTAATACGAATGGACGCTGTTAGTAAACTTACGACCTAATAAGTACTATGTGTACTTATTGTAAGTATTTATTTTTATTTTTAATGTTAAGTTTAATACGTAAGTACACTTCTTAGGACAAGTGTTTTGCAACTTCCCTTCAAACTACAAAAACGAAATCCCTTCGGACCTCGGATCCCTTCCTAGAGGACGCAAAACTACCCCGACCGGCAGGTCTTAGGCGCTCTACTCTATATAGCAAAGGCAAGCCGGATGCTTCCCCCTGCCTGTCACTAAATCTTTGTGCCCAATCGCATTTTGGTACAATCAGGCCGCCAAAATATCCCTTACCGCAGTAACCAATCTATCACTAGAGATTTCCACTCTCTGGCGATAGTGCTAAGAGGAGCGAAATAGTGGTAAGAGGAGAAACTTCTAGTGGTTATACTTAAAAAATATAAAGATTCTATCTTCAAATTCTAAGTCGAAAATGACTAGAAAAAACTAGAACGTATTCAAGAAATAAAAATAAAAGTTACGTTAACAGGGTGCAGCGAGATTAATAAAATGTTAAGAATAGGACAACACTCTTAATGTAGGTATTTCGGGGCACGATACGGAGTAACAGTTACAAATCCCGTTAGTTTAAGGGCGTGTCGCATAGCTTCGCTATCAACAAGGCTATATTAAGGAAACATCGCCTCCATGGTACTTATCTATTCAATTTATATTTATAGTTTTACCCCAGTTGCAGTTGCACTAACACCAAGCCGTTGGTGCAAAATTATCGGGGAAGGTTACAATTTACTACTAAGTTTAATTGAAACGCGTTATGTAGAATATTAGTAGTTTTGAATGTGGGTTCAATTAGTTCTTTTATGATTTTTTTGCACATATTATTATACTATGTCCAGCAGTGGACTATTAAATGTTGATGTTGAAGATGATGATGATTATTATTATTGTACTACTAGGACTCATGACACAGATATCCAATAGTCGGCCTAAAGAGATGTCGACTTCACATAGGTACTTTACTTATTATTTGTAGCGATCGCTAGGTGTTTGTAATTTTAATTTTAATCATACCCACAAATAATTTTTAAGACAGATATTCCACGAGTTTTAACAAATTCACTTCTACTTGGTTCCAATGCTACCCTTTACTTGCTGTAGATTCTAAATTAGTCATCTCGTCGGTTTATTCCAGTTGAGTGAAATTACACGGTTTTATTTTTCTATTACTTCGTTCATACAAATCATTTAACAACTTTAAGTATGATTCACCTGCTTTGTGTAGTATATTTTGGGATTACCATATCAGCATAGTGCACTTGGCGCAATGATTCAAGTCCCCTCGCGATATCGCCGCTCCGTATTATTGTCAAACAAGAATCGTCTATAAGAAAAATCAACAAAAGCAATTTTTTTACGTAACTTTCATCGCAGTTTTATATAATTGATTTTGTTATTTAGAAAAAGTTCCCGTGTCGTTCAGCGGAGTACGAGTACGGCAGCATGAGATGTTCACTGAGCGACTCGGACAGGCGAACAGGACAACACTTTGTGCAACTTGTGGACACACCCGGCACCGACTACTTCGAGGTAACTTTACCTTACAACAACAAACACCGTAATGCTCAGTGTCAAGTACAAGATAAAAACTTGTAACTAATTTGTGAGCCGCTTGTTTTCTCGTATTACAAAAAACTAACGCTGAACATCTAACCTTATATAGAACAGAAGAGCACAGTAAATACAGAGCCATATATAAGTTTACAAGCCGCATTAATTAGTCGTGCAATTATTGGCCTGACAACTAGCTGGTGAAATAAGATTCTCTCATAACTTGGAAAATGTTTTATGCTAATACAACTGAAAGGCGACTGTTTATTTTGCTTGGTTCATTCATTTTCTACTAATGAATTACAAGTCTAAAGTGGTGCTTTGGACTGGATTTGATGGCGGAATGTTTGAGACATCGCATCGTTAGAGATAACTATTCAGTTAGTTTTATTACTATTGTTTTGTGTTATTTGATGCGATTTCTGTGTGGTCGCACAGAATTTGTGCCTGAAGGCGGCACAGGCGTGCAAGGGCCAAAGAGTGTTCAGCGCGCCACGGATCGGTGTTGCCGAAGACAAGGTGGCCCAGTATGCTGGATTGCACTACTACACCGATAAGGAATTACAGGTAAACATTCACATTTCGATTAATGACCTAATGCTTTGATATTTGGCATGGAACATACTCTAATAAAGCAATTAGTGTATTACTAGGGTCTAATTAAAAATATATAATAATCATATAAATAAGCATTAAGAATCATAAAAAGGTTTCTGCATAACTATAAGGAAGCGTGATCCTTACTCCCCAGAAAGCATTAAAACAGAAAGCATTAAAAAAAAAACTAAATGTACAAAATTGATAAAAATATATTTAATTCTGAAATTTTTAAAGCAGTCTTTATTTTTGGAAATATGACGTCAATTCACCAATCATGCTTTCTAAACAAGATTAATAGGACATATTTGTTAAGTATCATTTACAAGATGCATTGATATTTAGAGTATTTCAATATTTTTTATTTCTAATTCTTTGGGAATTTTTAATATCCTAATCCCGACTTCAGCTCAAATCCTATTGATGGTTTAATTCTTCTAAGTATTGATTTTTATAATTATTTAATTGGTATTAAATGAATTAAAAATCAAATCCCATTTGATCTTTTTTATTTTATTTCTAAGCAATTTATTCAATAACGTGCTTCCTCTTATTATCTGGTGTATTAATTAGTGCCATAAAGAAAGGACAGTTCCAAACTTAGTGCTACTAATGAGCCATCAGTGCCAAACAAAGCCTTTTCACTTATGTATGCCAATATAGGCGTAATCTTATGGCACCCAAATACACAAGAATTAATTGTTACTATTAAACATAAAAGTTTTTATAAATTAAAAATAGCAAGTGTGCAGTAGTCTCTGACCCGAGACATATACTCCATTATGTCTGCAAGGAGGAATGTTTAGGGAGAAATGGCTTTAGTTTAGAAGCACTTGTGTTAAAGTTATGGTGATATAGTATCATAGCTTCTTAGTATGACTCATTAATTGATTTACTTTTATTACAAATTAATATTATATTATAAATTTCATTGGGAGACGTACGGAACCAATATCCACTAGGCCAAAACAATATAGTTTCTGTATTTGATGCTAAACATTAAACCAAGTTCGTATATAAATGATAACTAAAACCAAGTTTGGAATCAGTTGCTTAATAAGGCTTTCTATTTTTTTGAGGCTAATAAATCATTTCATTACAAAAAAGATCTTAGATTATGAATCACTGATTTAATCGAGTTAATTAATATGGAGTTATTGATACCTGTTTTGTATGCGATTAGGTAACATCCGAAGCAGCTTGCCGACTAGCATGCGAAATCGAATCCGAGTTCCTGTGTCGGTCGTACCTGTACATGGGACCTCCTCATTCCGCTGCATACAACTGCCGATTGTATCACTTGGACCATCACACCTTGCCTGATGGACCCTCAGCTTATCTCAACGCAGAAAGGCCTTTAATCGACGATGGGGAGCCTACTGGAAAATACTTCGAGAACTTCTGTGAAAGTGAGTCCTGTTTACGTTCATTTAATCTTTGATAAGTTAGAGGTATATACTTATATTGGGATTGTGTTAACAGTCCAACAATTATTGTTCACCAGTATAAATTGAACAGGTATTTTATAAACTTGTATTCTTCAGGCTTAATCTTAGGAACCATGGTATGTACCTACGGCGGTACGTCACCAGATGCGGTTATCTAACTGAGGTTTTACAATCGTAATAAAACCGTTACTTTTCCTACTTTTCGAAGTAAAATCATTTTTAAAGGAAATTAAAGGAGCTACCTTATAAGTTTTACACTAAAAGTCATTATTAGTTAGATGTCTATTCTTGATTAGTTGTCTTACTTTCGGATTTCTGGGGATCTACCTATTTCAAAATAATATGTATTTCAGTTTTTACAAACTGCAAGCTATTTACATAGCTTCATAGATAAAAACTTTCGTACAATATTGAACAGATGCTTTTATAATGCGTTTTGATATCACAAATATAACATTCCTCCATAACACAAATCTGCTTTACAACAATATTTATAACAAAATATCCGACTTCATAATGTTTCATCATCATTTTGATAATTTATAACCTTTATTCTTCAGCTTTTAAAATTTCCGGGAGGAAGACTTTATCTAAGTTATATGAGTATAACGATAACTGTTCGTCATCATTTACAAAATATTGCTCACCCGCTCAGAAAATATAGCACCATGTATAATGTACACAAAAATATCCAGTGTCATACTGTTTTTTTGTGTAAAAGGAATATACACAACGAGACAATTGAGGCGACACTTTTATCGTAATTACAGCCTAGTATAAAGCCATTATAAGATTTTAATTCAAACCTAGTATTATAATGCCATTATCAGTGAGTAGCCTTCTATAATTAAAAGCTAAAATATAAATAAAACACTAATGTCGACTAGTTTTTAAGTTGAACAAGACTAAGTAGCTTATTTAGTTTTTACAAGTCTACAATTAACTTGACGCCGCCGCGCCGGCTTGCTGCTTTAAATGAAACTTTGTTGGTATCGTTTAGCCTCAACTTAACGAGATTTGTAGATTTCTTTCAGAGTAGGTAGATATCACCTTTTAATGCTGTCACTGTACTTGTTTTATAAATAAATACGCACAGATACCGATTTTCACCGATTTAAATAAAGACCAGGTACTTAATTCATCACGATAAGTTCTTTATGTCTAATTACTCGAAAGTGCCTAACCCAATTTGAATATTATTTTCTTTAGAAATTTATTAGATAGATGAGTCGATTTTGTGTTATATATAGTTAGGGCTTTGCCATTTCAAGAATTGGTATCGTAACTTAAAGGAGCCGGTGGCACTTATAAATGTTACTTATTCTAATGGCAAGTAACGTATTATTGTATCGTATATTCGTTTCCTGCGAGCGTTCGAGCGAGAAGCACGATATCATGTATATTTATTGTTAGTACTTTCCATTGATAGCGCTATATTTCGTCGGGAAGTACCGGTCGGCCGGCCGAGATTCTATCAACGATTTAGTATTACAGAGATATTATTTAACGACGAAGATCTTAGAGCACTAATAAAATAACTATTGTATAATATTAGCGATAAAACTTTAAAATTGAATTTGAATGATATTATTAATAATTAATATAAAGTACCTAATATCCAACCTTTTACTTTTTAAATAAAGAAGCTCATGATCGTTACTAATTTGATAAAATAAAGAAGAAAACCTGACGAAGAAACGACAAGCAGATCTATTCCTACGACGACCGACGGAATACTACATTGCAACGTTTATATGCGAAAATTCGAATTATTATGCGAAATTATTATATATATATATATATTGTAAATGAAAACTTTATGGAACAGCGGTGACAGACGTTGTCGAGCATATGGGATAAGATATTTGTAGCTACAGCTATCTAATTTGAACACAAATAATTTAATAGATAAGAGCAAATTTTTATTTGATTGTTTAGTATATATTTGAATTGCTGCAATATTTTGTTATAGTACTTAATAATACACATATATTTTCAAGAAATGTAAATCTAGAACGGCAGTTTCAGTAAATAGACCATTACGTCGACGACAAGAAAGTGGAGTGCTTATGTCGGCCTTGCTAATGACACCTCTCGATACTTGGCTACAATTAGCTCAGCGATTGGCTCATTCAGCTACGTGCGTTCAGTCCTCATGCCCAACACGTACTCAACGACACTTTGAAAAGTAAATAACATAGTATTAAGTTGCGTTACTTAGTAATGGTTGTTCCCTTTTAAATTATTCAAACTTAGCAACACAACAGCTAGGTACCTCAGTTTATTGCAGTGCAAACTTATTATCACATAAATAGCATCATTAAAAAACCCGCGACACAAAAAAAAAACTTTCAACAACAACAACTGATCATTAAGACTGTACTAATTAGCCCAAACATGGTATATACGCTGTAATTTTCTAAGTAGTCGGCTATCCCGCTGACTACTTGATGCATCAGCAAGTTCCAGGTTACCATGTCGTGGAAAAAGCATCAAAGTAACAGTATACCAAATTTCAGACCAATCAGACCTGTGGATTTGAGTGCGATCCCTTCATCACTTAGGAAGTGAGCTAATGATCTTCAGAATTTATAGCTAAGAACCATCTCGATCACATCGGCTTTTGAACAAAAAAATTCGCATCGAAATTGGTAAATCCGTTCGGGAGCTATTATGCCACAGGCAGGTTAAACTTATAAGATCCCTCGTCCCTCAGGGGTTATAAAATTACACTTACATTAGAAAGCTAATCTTTTTCACATTTAGGATGTATTATCTAGCTAATAGTTCCATCGTCACATCACCGTTACTAAGCTCAATTTATTTGACTCGTCAAGACAAACAATAATTGGCATAAACTCTAGAAGTTTACTAGTAGAGGAGTCATCAGAGGAGCTATAAGATGCGAAATTGTAATATCCTCATCCAATCTATATATTGATAAAAGTAACAAGTCGATACGATAAATAGAAGTAGGTTACTATTGACTTCCAAGATCTATTTACATAGTTACAAATTAAAGTCATTCTTTATACACCAATGTCTAGTGCACCTAGTCACACATTTCCGCAGAGGGAAAGAAATATTGTGCATAAATATTTAAAATAAAATAAAAAATAAAGTGTATTAAAATCGTTATATAATGTGACACTATAAGGTAACAAATGCTAATTTCAACATGAGGAAACATTTCCTCAGCAAACACATCTACAATATTCTATTAAAGTGTATACGCGAAGCTCTTTAATAGTAAAGTCACACTATTAGACATGAGAGCAATTTGTTTATAATGGAATTTTTCTCTCAACCTTCTAAACGGGTAACCAGTAACCTGTCTCTTTATATGGTTACTAATGAAAATTTACTGTAGACTTTGTTGCCATAATGATGTGAGAATAAGTTTGCAATGTGATTGACGCAACGTTTTACATCATTAACTCGCCGATAGCTTCATTCCTCAGTCGCCAATTTAGATAGCTTTATATATTTTTTTGCATTTTGCATGGCAACTAGTAATGCAAATACGTCTCGCTTTTATTTAAAATATAGTAATAAAATCCATACTGATATTATAAATGCGAAAGTGTGTCTGTCTGTCTGTCCGTTACCTCTTCACGCTTAAAGCGCTGAACTGATTTAAATGAAATTTGGTATAGAGATAATTTAAGACCCGGGAAAGGACATAGGATAGTTTTTATCCCGAAAATCATCCTTTAAGGGTATGAAAATAGGGGTTGAAGTTTGTATGGGGAATCAATGAACATTACACCGATTTGTATGAACTTTGGATGGAAATAGTTTGATTCTTGAGAAAGGACAGTGGCTACTTTTCACTGCGATTTCCGACATACACGCGGGCGGAGTCGCGGGCAAAAGCTACAATAATATATATTAATCAGTACCATCGATTTAGGTAACTTTAATCATTTTTATAGTATTTATGATATTACAATCACATTTATATTAAATACACGTAAATTTTATTAAATAGTGTTCTTTGGAGTTGGTTTATTTTTCCAACACAAGAAATTTACGGAAAAGACAATAGAACAACCCAGAAATTCCCAATAAGTCAAATTCAAAGTTATCATGTCTTTTGGGTAACTTTAAATCTAAATTTTGTAGGATGTAAAATCTATATAATTCGAATATTTTAATGATTTGGATAAAATTAAATGACGTACACCTATACTACGCAACAAACACCTATACTAACTCAACTACGAAAAAGGCGGGTAATTTGCTCAATTATGTATGGGACTGTTTATTTATTTTTTGATTAAAACATTTTTTGGCATTCCGTTTAACGTTGTTTCAATGTCGTAACAGCAAAGATTCTTCTATTATAAATTAATAAAACTATTTCACAACTTTGCTGAAAGTTAAACCGCAATTCGAACCTCAAATGACCGTATCTAGGCTTTTATTTTAATATACTAAATATTTTTTATTGTAAATATCAAGGGTATGATAAATCTCAAAATACGGTTCCCGTGTCGATAGTTCAATAAGTGGATAATTTTAAGGAAATTCAATTATTTTAAACATTTCCCTTGTTCTTTATTAATAAAGTATTTAAGCTTTAAGTATTTGAACAAACATTAATAATTTCTGTTTTTATTAAAAACTATCAACTACTTGTAGGCCTGAATATTATTTATCTTAGATTTAAAGATTCGAAAGAAAAAGTTACCTACAAGCGATACCTCCTTCATTGAAATTTAGATAAAATTACAAAATCCATTTATTAAAAGTGAAGGGTCTATGGACATCGTGTAACGCGCGATAAGGAAATTCGTTCCAATATTCTAAATACGAAATACTCTTATACTAAAAATAACAGTTTGTATACATTCACCTCCTTAAAAGAAATAATGTCAATGGTAACCGCAAGTGTCACGTAGTAGATGAAAATTAGTGTAAAATAAAAACAAGCGATAAACCGCATACATGTGCAAAAT